AGCAGGTGTCACTCCTGCAGGGTGGAAAGTGGATGCTTCATGGTTTACGACCGCCCCAACTACATGGGAAACCAGTACTTCATGAGGAGGGGCGAGTACGCTGACTACATGAGCATGATGGGAATGTCTGACTGCATTAGGTCCTGCCGTATGATCCCCATGGTATGGCCTTTCTTTTCTGCATAGATTTTTGCTCTTACCTGCAAAGCCTGATCTAATAATGTTTGGTCTACAGCACAGGGGATCCTACAGGATGAGGATCTATGAGAGGGAGAACTTCGGTGGTCAGATGCATGAGTGTATGGACGACTGTGACAACATCATGGACCGCTACCGTATGTCCAACTGCATGTCCTGCCACGTGATGGACGGTCACTGGCTGATGTACGAGCAGCCCCACTACCGAGGCCGCATGATGTACCTGAGGCCCGGAGAGTACAGGAGCTTTAGGGAGATGGGATATGGAGGCACTAATTTCATGAGCATGAGGAGGATCATGGATTCCTACTACTAAATTACAATAAAGATATTTGCTCTATTTTCTAATTTTGCAGCAGTCCTTGTTTTTTTTTTCCGAAGAAGATGCATTTAATCATGAGTCCAAAATCAGCTTGTGTCTTTTACTGGCTGTTAATATCTGTGATGAAGATGTTAATTTCATCTACACAACTCTGCATATCTTTATCCTAAAACTGCATATTGCTAAATTACCAAAACAGATTAAATAAAATATAAAAATTGTGGTTTCAACTGCTTGTAAACCAAGAACTATTAGTCAATGTTCAATTTAAATGGCTATCAAGTGTATTTTTCAATCCCAGATCCAATCAACTTTATTATCCTGTTACTAACCCATTTCCCTAAAAAAGTCTTTTCTTTTCAAAAACCAAATACATCGATATTGACATTTTGTCAGATTCAAATCCTACAAATGGATGGCACTATGGAGGCACTCATTTCATGAGCATGAGGAGGATCATGGATTCCTACTACTAAATTCCAATAAAGATATTTGCTCTATTTTCTAATTTTGCAGCAGTCCTTGTTTTTATTTCTGAAGAAGATGCAAAGGAAATGCATTTAATCATGAGTCCAAAATCAGCTTCTGTCTTTTACTGGCTTTTAATATCTGTGATAAAGGTGTTAATTTCATCTACACAACTCTGCATATCTTTATCCTAAAAC